TTCTCTCTCTTGCTCTCTCTCTCTTTTCACTCTCTCACTCTCTCTCCTTCCACTTCTCACTCTTCTCCCTTTCATCTCTCTTGCTCTCTTCTCTTTTCTCCCCCCCCCCCTCTCTCTTCTTTTCCTTGTCTCTCTCTCACTCTCTTTTCCTTCTGTCTGTCTCTCCCTCTCTTTTCCTCTGCTCTCTCTCTCTCTCTTTTCCTCTCTCTTCTCTCTTTTCCTCTCTGTCCTCTCTCTTCACTCTCCCTTTTCCTCTGTCTGTCTCTCTCTCTCTCTTTTCCTCTGTCTCTCCTTCTCTCTCTCTCTTTCCTCTTCTTCTTTTCCTCTGTCTCTCTCTCACTCTTTTTTTCCTCTGTCTGTCTCTCTCTCTCTTTTCTCTGTCTCTCTCTCTCTCTCTTTTCTCTCTCTCTCTCTCTCTCTCTCTCTCTCTCTTCTCTTCTCTCTCTCTCTCTCTCTCTCTCTCTCCTCTCTCTCTCTCTCTCTCTCTCTCTCTCTCTCTCTCTCTCTCTCTCTCTCTCTCTCTCTCTCTCTCTCTCTCTCTCTCCAAGTCTTAAGTAAAAGGAATAAAGAAAACAAACCATAGAGTCAATAAATTCAAATACAGTTTAAATTTATTCTAAATCATTATGACAAACCGAGTTCCTTGTGTGGAGAAAGAAACATCTGTTGATAAACATAACCATAAAAGTGATGAAAAAACAATCCAATTGGGATAAAGGAAACAGAAGAAAGGCATGATAAAGAAGGATAAGGAAAATGGGGGAAGACAGATTTTGAGACGAAATAGGAAAATATTTTTTTTTTTAGAAATAGGAGAATAAGGATACGAAGAATGAATAATAAGAAAAAAAAAGTGAAGCAAATACGATAAAGATGGAAATAAAAAAAAACGATAAAAAATTGCACGATGTTGCAAAGCAGTCATTGAGGCAATTAAATAATCTATTATCAGATACCACTTTTTTTTTTTTTAATTCACTCCCATAAAGTGGATTTCTAAATAGTATAAACTAACGCACCTAAATACTCTATTAAAGTTTCCTTAGGTTTAAAACACATCCGTAACTTAATTAAGTTTCGTCCTTAATGGAACACCAATTAAAGTATCCATTTAATTGAAGATATAACACTGTATTGTAACGAAGGGATTTGATGTGCACTTACAATACTATAAGCTCGATTGATTGTAAAAAATGATCAGTTTGATAAAAAATATATAAGTATATATCATTTCAAACATGATATAGGCACAGGTTAGGCACTCAGACATCTATACGCGTTCAAGGTTTTTAAAATATTGACTTAGGTGTTCATTAAACATTAACACGAATATTGGAAAACATTTTAACAACACCAAGAAGAGGAGAAGAATTCTTAAATAAGAGAAACTGTTAGCTTAACATGACAAAAAAAAATCTGTAATGATTATTTTCATTTTTTTTTGCAACAAGCATTTTTTTTTCAAATAAGCGAAGAGGCTCACAAAAAACGACTAAATATCCAAAGGTTAGAGAGGTCAGAGGTCAGAGGTCACGGCAGTATTTGACCTGGCTTTCCAAGAGGATTGAACAACCTTATTCTCTTGTCACAAAAGGCTAGTGAGAATGTGGGCAGTACCTAAACGTACGGTTGGGATATACATACATACATACATACACACATATGTATATATATATGTGTGTGTATTAATATATATATACGCACTGTAAATATATGCATATCTATACATATATATTCTACCTATCTATCTAAAGACACTCTCGCCGCCCACAAAAAAAGGCATTATTTAAACTTAAAGCTTCCACAACTGGCAGTGTTTTGTATATATTTGAAACTATCTACACAAACATTTAGGTCTCGATTTTTGCCAAGGGAGAAAAAGACCCGGATTGAAGCGTCATTTCACTCGAGGGAAATACTCGCTTCAGTCGTGATGAAGTCGTTTTCCCGATATAACGATTGGGAAAAAAAGTTTAGTCGATTCAGTAAAATTTTGGGGAAAATATACCGATTCTGGGACTCTGAAGAACGAGTCGTGACTGAATTTTGGAAAAAAACTGATTTAGGATGGGATTGAGTCAGTCAGGTCTGAGTCGAGACCAAGTCGAGACCGATTGAGGACTTCTGGAGGCCGACTCGCGAGTGACTCAAGCCTGACTCACTGAAGACTGAAGTGAGATGACTTTCTTAAAGACCGAATTTTGGAAACTGATTCAGAACGTACTGAAGTCGAGCCCTGAATCGAGACCAACTCACAACTGACTGAAGCCTGACTTACACGAGACTGAAGTGAGGTGACTTAAGACCGAAATGAGTTGACTTACTTAAGACTGAAGTGACAGACTCAAAATTAATTTATTGGCTGACTGCGCATAAGAGAGTTGTTACAGTCCTTCACCAAAACAATGAAATAAGTGTCTAAAAAAATAAATAATGAAAATAGAAAAAGAAAAAACACAAAAAATCAAAAAAAAGAAATAAAATGATGAGGGTTTGGAGATATGATATCTTTGTTGATACGTAAGAGAAACACTATATATTTGCTCAAATTATCTCTCAAAGTATTAATAAGAAAGATCACGACCTCTTATCACACAAAAAAATAAAAATAGAATAAAAAAAAAAGAAAAAACAAGAGAAAACAATACTCTCCCCTCCCCCCTCTACCCCTCCCTCCCTCCCTCCACTCAAAAAAAAAAAAAAAAAAAAAAAAAACACCTCCCCTCCCCACTTTAGATCAGCCACCCCACCCTCAGCACCGAGTGCTTCTGCATGGTGCTGCTCTTCCAGGCCGGCCTTCTGTCTCCCTCCCCCCTCCACCCCCTCTTCAAAAAAAAAAAAAAAAAAAAAAAAAAAACACTTTAGATCAACCACCCACTCCTCTTCCACCCGAGTGCTTTCCGTGGTGATGATGAGAATGGGCGTGGGTGATGGTGCTGAGGGTGGGCGTGGCGACCGGCCTCCGACGCCGGCCTTCCTGTCTCCCCCCCTCCACCCCTCTCCTTCCTCTCTCCTCTCAAAAAAAAAAAAAAAAAAAAAAAAAAAAAAAAAAAAAAAAAACACTTTAGATCAGCCACCCACTCCTCTCCACCGAGTGCTTCCCGTGGTGATGATGAGAATGGGCGTGGTGATGGGTGCTGAGGGTGGCGTGGCGACCGGGCCTCCGGACGCCGGGCCTTCCTGTCTCCCCTCCCCCCTCCACCCCCTCCCTTCCCTCTCCCTCAAAAAAAAAAAAAAAAAAAAAATCACAACCTCCCTCCCCACTTTAGATCAGCCACCCACTCCTCCCCCGAGTGCTTCTCGTGGTGAGATGGGCGTGGTGATGGTGCTGAGGGTGGGCGTGGCGACCGGGCCTCCGACGCCGGGCCTTCCTGTCGTAGGCGGCGAGTCGTGCCCGGACTGTCAGCACGAAGGACTCTATCTCGGACTCGTTGGTTCCTCGCCGGATGCGGAGGAAGCCGCGCTCGCCCCACCCCGTGCCCCACGAGTTGGCCACCAGCTGCGGGAGGAGAGAGAGGAGAGAGGGTGAGAGAATGAGGAGGAGAGAGTGAGGAGATGAGCCCCCAGCCCGTGCCCACGAGTTGGCCACCAGCTGGGGAGGAGAGAGAGGAGAAGAGGAGAGAGGGTGAGGAGAGTGAGGATGCCCCAGCCCGTGCCCCACGAGTTGGCCACCAGCTGCGGGAGGAGAAGAGAGGAGAAATGAGGAGAATGAGGAGGGTGAGGGAGTGAGGAGAGTGAGGATGCCCCAGCCCCGTGCCCCACGAGTTGGCCACCAGCTGCGAGGAGGGGAGAAGAGAGAGAATGAGGAGGGTGAGGAGAGTGAGAGAGTGAGGATGCCCCAGCCCGTGCCCACGAGTTGGCCACCAGCTGCGGGAGGAGAGAAGGAGGAGGGTGAGGAGAGGAGGATGCCCCACCCCGTGCCCCACGAGTTGGCCCACCAGCTGGGAGGAGAGAGGAAGAGAGGTGAGGAGAGTGAGGATGCCCCAACCCTTGCCCCACGAGTTGGCCACCAGCTGCGGGAGGAGAGAGAGGAGAGAGGGTGAGGAGAGTGAGGATGCCCCACCCCGTGCCCCCGTGGCCACCAGGCTGCGGGAGGAGAGAGAGGAGAGAGAGGTGAGGATGAGGAGAGTGAGGATGCCCCAGCCCGTGCCCACGAGTTGGCCACCAGCTGCGGGAGGAGAAGAGAGGAGATGAGGAGAGAGGGTGAGGAGAGTGAGGAGAGTGAGGATGCCCCAGCCCGTGCCCCACGAGTTGGCCACCAGCTGCGGGAGGAGAAGAGAGGAGAATGAGGAGAATGAGGAGAGTGAGGAGAGTGAGGATGCCCCAGCCCGTGCCCCACGAGTTGGCCACCAGCTGCGGGAGGAAAGAGAAGAGGAGAGTGAGGAGAAGAGGGTGAGGTGAGTGAGGAGAGTGAGGAGCCCCACCCCGTGCCCACGAGGTTGCCACCAGCTGCGGGAGGAGAGAGAGGAGAGAGAGGGGTGAGGGGAGTGAGGAGAATGAGGAGAGAGGGTGAGGAGAATGGGCCACCAGCTGCGGGAGGAGAGAGAGGAGAGAGGGTGAGGAGAGTGAGGAGAGTGAGGAGAAAGGGGAAGTGAGGAGAGAGGGTGAGGGAGATGGGCCACCAGCTGCGGGAGGAGAGAGAGGAGAGAGGGTGAGGAGAAGAGGAGCCCCAGGCCCGTGCCCCACGAGTTGGCCACCAGCTGCGGGAGGAGAATGAGGAGAGAGAGGAGAGAGGGTGAGGAGAGTGAGGAGAGTGAGGATGCCCCAGCCCGTGCCCCACGAGTTGGCCACCAGCTGCCCAGGAGAGTGAGGAGAGTGAGAATGCCCCAGCCCGTGCCCCACGAGTTGGCCACAGCTGCGGGAGGGAGAGAGGAGAGATGAGAGAGGGTGAGGAGAGTGAGGAGAGTGAGGATGCCCCACCCCGTGCCCCACGAGTTGGCCACCAGCTGCGGGAGGAGAGAGAGGAGAATAAGATGAGGGTGAGGGGAGTGAGGAGAATGAGGAGAGAGGGTGAGGAGAATGGGCCACCAGCTGCGGGAGGAGAAGAGCAGGAGAGAGGGTGAGGAGAGTGAGGAGAGTGAGGGAGATCCCCAGGCCGCGGCCACCAGCTGCGGGAGGAGAGAGAGGAGAGAGTGAGGAATGAGGATGCCACCAGCCCGTGCCCACGAGTTGGCCACCAGCTGCGGGGGATGAGAGAGGAGAGAGGAGTGAGGAAAGAGGGTGAGGAGGAGTGAGGAGAGTGAAGGATGCCCCAGCCCGTGCCCCACGAGTTGGCCACCAGCTGCGGGAGGAGAGAGAGGAGAGTGAGGAGAGAGGGTGAGGAAAGAGGGTGAGGAGAGTGAGGAGAGTGAGGATGCCCCAGCCCGTGCCCAGATTGGCCACCAGCTGCGGGAGGAGAGAGAGGAGAGTGAGGAGAGAGGGTGAGGAAAGAGGGTGAGGAGAGTGAGGAGAGTGAGGATGCCCCAGCCCACGAGTGGCGCCAGCAGGAGCGGAGGAGAAGAGAGGAGAGAGAGGGAGAGAGGGTGAGGAGTGCGGCCACCAGCTGCGAGGAGAGAGAGGAGAGTGAAGAGGGTGAGGAAAGAGAGATGAGGAGAGTGAGGAGAGTGGGATGCCCAGCCCTGCCCCACGAGTTGGCCACCAGCTGCGGGAGGAGAGAGAGGAGATGAGGAGAATGAGGAGAGAGAGGAGAGAGGGTGAGGAGAGTGAGGATGCCCCACCCCGTGCCCCACGAGTTGGCCACCAGCTGCGGGGAGATAGAGGGAGTGAGAGAGTAGAGTGAGGAAGTGAGGGATGAGGAGAGAGGAGGAGAGGTGAGGATGCCCCATGCCCCACGAGTTGGCCACCAGCTGCGGGAGGAGAATGAGAGGGTGAGGAGAGTGAGGAGAGAGGGTGAGGAGGAGTGGAGGAGGAATTGGAGGAGAGAGGGTGAGGAGAGTGAGGATGCCCCACCCCGTGCCCCACGAGTTGGCCACCAGCTGCGGGAGGAGAGAGAGGAGAGAGGGTGAGGAGAGTGAGGAGAGAGGGTGAGGAGAATGAGGAGAGAGGGTGAGGGAGGGTGAGGAGAGTTGAGGAGGAATGAGTCACCAAGCTGCGGGAGGAGGAGAGAGGGTGAGGGAGAATGAGGAGAGATGAGGATAATAGGATAATGGGGGTAATAAGATGGGGACGAAGGAGGAGAAGGGTGAGGAGAGAGAGGAGAGAGGGTGAGGAGAGGGTGAGGAGGAAAAGATGGGGACGAAGGAGGAGAGAGGTGAGAGAGTGAGGAGAAATGGGGGAGAATGGGTCACCTGCTGGGAGGAGAGAGAGAGGAGAGAGGGTGAGCGAGAATGAGAAGTGAGGAGAGTGAGGATAATAGGGGTAATGAGATGGGACGAAGGGGGAGAGAGAGAGAGAGTGGTGAGGCTGAGAATGAGGAGAGTGAGGAGAATAAGATGAGGGCTGAGGGAGGGTCGAGGAGAATGAGGGAGAGGGTGAGGGGAGTGAGGAGAGCGAGGATAATAGGGGTATGAGATGGGGACGAGCGGGAGTGAGAGGAGAGAGGGGTGAAGAGGAGAGTGGGAGAATTGAGGGGAGTGAGGATAACGGGGGAGAATGGGTCACCAGCTGCGGGAGGAGAGAGAGAGAGAGGGTGAGGAGAGCGAGGAGAGAGGGTGAGGGGAGTGAGGAGAATAAGATGAGGGTGAGGGAGGGTGAGGGAGGGTGAGGAGAATGAGGAGAGAGGGTGAGGAGAGCGAGTATAATGAGAGGAGTGAGGATAATGAGGGGAGTGAGGATAATGTGGAGGATAATGAGGATAATGGGGGAGAATGGGCGCCACCAGACTGCGGAGGAGGAGAGAGGTGAGGAGAGTGAGGAGAGCGGAGATACATGTAGGAGCGGGTAAAGTATGTGGACGAAGGGGAATGAGGTGAGTGGGGTGAGGAGAGTGCAGGATAAATGATGGTGGGGATGAATGAGGGGCGATACGGGAGGGAGAGGTGAGGGGAATGAGTACTGATAACAGTCGGTCACCAGTCTGCAGTGAGGAGGAGAGAGCGATGAGCGAGAGTGCGAGGATAAACTAAGGCTAGGTGCAGGGTAGGGGAGCGGATGAGGATGCCTCTTTAAGGTAATATAGATGGATGTGTGAGGAGAGGCGGGGAGTGATACGGAGGTGAGGGTGCCTGGACCATCGCTACGCACTCGAGGATAAATGATAACATGAGTCATCTCTAATAACTCTCACACAGACACCATCCAGTCTAGACACATATAGATATACACGATCACACACCCACACCCATCCAACCACCCACCCACAATCACCCTCACACGTAAACATACCCCATCCCATAACATCTATTCCACCCCCCACCCATCCAACCCCCTCTCCCCTCCCATCATACTTCCATACACATCTATACACCACCCATCCACCCATCGAACCACAAACCCACCTATCCATACACACCCATTCACCTCCCACCCATTCCAACCGCCTCCCCACACACCCCACTCCAAAACCCACCTATCCACATCAATCATCCTATTTCACCCCCCTTCCCCACCTAGTCAACCACAAGGCCCAACCGTATCCACACAACATCCAATTCACCTTTCCCACTCCCACCCCCGGTCCTGACACCCACCCACCCACCAACACATCCCCTCCCCCCTTAACCTACATCCACACCCGATCACAATCCAAAACCCCTCCCCCTCCTATTGTAAGCCCGCCATCCCACCCGATCGACAATTCCATACCCCCCTTGCCTCTCCCCTTAACATCTACACCCACCCACACATCCCGCCTTCTCCCACCCTCACTCCTTACCCCACATCCACCCTCCCCACCTCCACATCCCTCCCATCCCACTTTCTTACCCAGTACTTCGTGGGCCTTCCTCCCAAGGAGCTGTCATGACCCCAGCCCACGATCCTGACGGAGTGCATGGCATATTCCTCCTCTGTAGATCCCGTGTGCCTGTAGACGCCGCCGCCGTACATGAACAGGTCCTTGTACACTTTCATGATGGCTGCCGGTGGAGAAGAACGGCGGTTATGGGAGATTATTGCGAGTATGTGTATCTACGTGTATTGGGTTATGGTATCTTCATATTTTGATTAATATGGAAGTAAGATCTTTATGTAGAAAATAAGTAAGTCAGTAAGCGAATCCTGTCAGAGCTCCCAAGGCCTCTTATTTTTCTTATTTTTCTTCTTATTCTCAGCCTCCCGTTTTAAAATCCTTGTGCATCGGTCAACAATCAGCTCTTCCCGCAACAAAGGTGACACCCAGCATCAGATGCTTCGGTAAGAGAACCAAACCAACCAATCAGCTTCCTTCCCGCCAGACAACGAGATGGAACCACCAACCAAATCAGATCCTTCCCGCCAGAAAAGAAAGAAACCAAACCAACCAATCAGCTTCCTTCCCGCTAGAGAAGAAGCAAAAAATAAAAAAAAAAAAACTAAAGGGGTGTCACACTAGCACAATTTCCGTGGTTCTTTGACGTTTCCGTGTTTTTTTTCTCGCTACCGCTTGATATTTGGGTGAATGCTGAGAAATTCCAGTCAACGATAATTATCGTTTTCGCTGGCAAGTTTCCGTTCGTCTTTTTCGTTCAAATGATAAGCTATAAAATAATATCGTATCGTACTATAGTGTTGTAAAAAAAAAAGTATTTATAATATAAAACGATTTCAAAAGACAGTCTCTAAACTGTATAAATAATATATCAAAAAGGCAAAATTCTCTATGTTAATTTATAAAAACAGATAACAGTTTGTAACTAGCTGCTCGCCTGTTTGTTTAACATTTGTCCCCGTCAACCTTACTAGATGAGAGTAGCGAGAATACGCCCTTATTTAACCTTACACATTTCGTTGTTTCGCATTAAATCGTCGCCACATTGTGCGGAATAACGTCCATCATCGCCAGAGCCTGTGCGGGGGGTTGAACCCATCTTTCTGTGTTTAGAATTTTGGTCGGACTGTTTCCGTGGTTCTCATCGCTTAGTGTGCGTGGGAGCCAAAATACGACGATTTCGCGGCCGGTGCCAGCGGAAAAAATAATGCGGAAAAAGTGGCTTGTGAGCTTCCCGGTACAAAACCAAACTAAATCAGCGCTTTGGGATCGGACAAGACAGGCTTTCAAACAGCCAATCACAGACGCATTTGACGGGTCGTTGGTCAGATCTCCCACTGGATGTCCTTCTTTTTTGCCTGAGATTGCGGTAAGGAGGTTCTGTTCTTGTTACAAGTCCCTTCTCTTACACGACCTGCGAGGTGAGGCATGGCAGTTATGTACGTATGTGGGTATGTGCCTGTGTGGGGATGGGGGAGCGTGGTGTCGTGTGTGGGGGTGGGGTGAGGGTGGATGTGAGGGGAGATGTGGGGGAGGTGAGGTGTGTGTGTGTGTGTGGGGGAGATGTGTGGAGGGAGAATGAGGGGGGAGGGTGTGATGTGGGGGGGTGGATGTGGTCGAGGTCGGAGCATGTGGGGGGGAGGGGAGAAGTGGTATGGAAGGGTGGTGCTGTGTGTTAGGGCAAGGGAATGGATGTGGGTGAGGATGTGTGTATGCGACTATGGTAATAGACTAAATAACTAATTTTCATTTATTATCAAATAACATTACATTTATGTTTGTCTTCAAAACATACTGTTTCGTTTTCATTATTTTGTATATTCTTGTTTTGATCTGAGAATATTGTCCATTGATATCTGTTTATGTATTTATTTTCATGATTCTTCTATACATTTCTATATCTCTCTTCTATATATTTCTATTTTCCTGATACATCATCTAATTTATAGACACTTCTTTCCATAAGATTTTTTCTGATTATTATTATTATTATTTTTTGCCTTAACCACCCATTTTTCCCCATTTTTTCCACAACCAAGTATTTTTCCCCATTATTTTTTTCCAAAACCATTATTAACCTTCTTCCTTATATTATTTATTTATTATATTTATTATTATTATTATTATTAATTTAATACTATTAATTATTATTATTATATTATTATTATTATTTATTATCATTATTATTATTATTTTATCTATCATCTTAATTCCTTTATTTATTTTTTATTTTCTTATCTTTTTTTTTTTCCTCCTCAACAAACAACTTCATTCTCTTCATTTTCCCCCTTTTTCTTATTGTTGCTTTACGGAACTATGTTTACCTTCCTATTATTATTATTATCATATTATCTCTAACCCAACCTACTCTCCCCAATTTCCTTTTTCACCACCAGGGAACTTATTTTGACCCCCATTATTTTATTTATTATTTTTTAAGCAAAACTATTTCCCTCCATTATTTTCTTCGTTTTTTTTTTTCTCTTAACTCTTTAATTTTCTCAAAATTTCTCGTTATTCCTTAACAAAGCCACCTTTGCCCCATTCACCCCCCTCCCCCTTAAACCAACCTAATTACTATCGCCCCATCATTTTCACCCTTAAACAAACCTATTTTACTATCTTTTCTCATATTTTTTTCTTTCCACTCAACCAACCTCCTTTTTCACCATTATTTTCTTTCTCTCTCCCCCCTTAACCAATTTTCCTTTTTTCCACCATTATTTTCCTCCTCCTTCCCCTTTTAACCAATTTTCCTTTTTTTCCCATTTTTCTCTCTTTCCTCCCTTAACTAATCTCCCCCTTTCACAATTATTTCCTTCTTTTTCCCCCCTTACTTACCTCCTTCGATGCACATCTGAGGCTGAAGAGGTTGGCCCTCACAGGAATACGGCAGCTTGGCACCTTCCCTGTTGTGCCACTTTCATAATGGTAACATTCCTCGTTCACAACACTGAAAGAGAGGGTGTGTTATTAGTATGGGAGTGAGAGGGTAGGCAGGGGTGTGTTATATTTTTCTTTCTCTTTCTTCTTCTCCTTTCTTTCTTAGCCCTCTCGTTTTTTTTTCTTTTCTCGTCCTCTCCTTTCTCTCTCTCTCTTTTCTTTTTTTCTCTCTCTTCTTCTGTCTCTTGTCTCTCTTCCCTCGCCCTCTCCTCTCTCTGTTTCTCTTTCCCTCCTCTCTCTCTCCCTCCCTCCCCCCTCTCTTCTCTTTCTTCTCTCTGTCTGTCAGTCTGTCTCTCTCCTCTCTCTCTTCTCTCTCATCGTCTCCCTCTCTCTCTCCCTCCCTCCTCCCTCCTCCCTTCCCTTCCCCTCTCCCTCCCTCCCTCTCCCCTCGCCCTCTCCTTCTCTCACCCTCTCATTCCCTCTCCCCTCAACTTACCCGACCTTCCGTAGGTACTGCCACGCCCTGTCAACATGACCTCCCTCGCAGCCTCTTTGACCTCGTCTGCTGCAGCTCAGGAGGTGCTGAGGAGACAGTCTCACCGTCTCGTTTCCGAAGGACTCGATGGAAAGCCTGGAATAAAGGAGGGAAGAATGAGGATAAGGAATAAAGGAAGATGGAGAAGGAGGAAGGATGAGGATAAGGAATAAAAGGGAATTAGTGGTAAAAGGATGAATGATGGAAAGCCTGGAATAAAGGAGGGAAGAATGAGGATAAGGAATAAAAGGGGAATTAGTGGTAAAAGGATGAATGATGGAAAGCCTGGAATAAAGGAGGGGAGAATGAGAATAAGGACGAAAGGGGAATTAGTGGTAAAAGGATGAATGATGGAAAGCCTGGAATAAAGGAGGGAAGAATGAGGGAGAATAAGGATAAGGAATAAATGGGGAATTAGTGGTAAAAGGATGAATGATGGAAGTGGAAGGATGAAGAAAAGGTGTATTATGAATGGTGGATAGAAAGGGAGGATGTAAGGGTGATCATAAGGATGTTTGGTTTCATGTGGAGTTGGTTAATTGAACAGAAAAGATGGAAATAATGTGAGAATTAAGAAAACCAAGTCATAAGTACCTGTTCATAAGTTCTGTTCTGCACAAAGACCTATTTACAACCACCTGTCCTTTGGGAAACGGCCGTGTTCTAACTACCTGTCCTGTCCTTAATTCTAACTACCTGTCCTGTGCCGAGTTTCTAAACTACCTGTCCTGTCTTAATTCTAACTACCTGTCCTGTCCTTAATTCAACTACCTGTCCTGTGCCGAGTTCTAACTACCTGTCCTGTCCTTAATTCTAACTACCTGTCCTGTCCTAATTCTAACTACCTGTCCTGTCCTTAATTCTAACTACCTGTCCTGTCCTTAATTCTAACTACCTGTCCTGTCCTTAATTCTAAACTTACCTGTCCTGTATTCTAACTACCTGTCCTGTCCTTAATTCTAACTACCTGTCCTGTCCTTAATTCTAACTACCTGTCCTGTCCTGTCCTGTTAATTCTAACTACCTGTCCTGTCTTAATTCTAACTACCTGTCCTGTCCTTAATTCTAACTACCTGTCCTGTCCTTAATTCTAACTACCTGTCCTGTCCTTAATTCTAACTACCTGTCCTGTCCTTAATTCTAACTACTGTCCTGTTCTAACTACCTGTCCTGTCCTTAATTTCTAACTACCTGTCCTGTCCGATTCTAACTACCTGTCCTGTCCTTAATTCTAACTACCTGTCCTGTGCCCTAACTATAATTCTAACTACCTGTCCTGTCCTTAATTCTAACTACCTGTCCTTAATTCTAACTACCTGTCCTGTCCTTTTCTAACTACCTGTCCTGTCCTTATTCTAACCTACCTAATTCTAACTACCTGTCCTGTCCTTAATTCTAACTACCTGTCCTGTCCTGAATTCTAACTACCTGTCTGTCCATTAATTCTAACTACCTGTCCGTTCCTTAATTCTAAACTACCTGTCCTGTTCCTGAATTCTAACACCTGTTACCTGTCCTGTCCCTAAATTCTAACTACCTGTCCTGTCCTTATTCTTAATTACGTCCTTAATTCTAAACTACTTGTTCCTTCCTTAATTCTAACTACCTGTCCTGTGCGAGTCTTAACTACGCTGTCCTGTCCTTAATTCTAACTACCTGTCCTGCGCACAAAACCACAGTTCACAACATCCCTTACACCTGCAAGTCCCGATGGCCTGTCCTGCGCAAAAAAAAGAAAAAATTCAAGACTACCTTACCTGCGCCAAAACCAAGTCACAATACTTCAATGTTCCTGCGGCAAAGCCGATTCAAGACTACCCTCTTTTGCGCCAAAATAGTAATTCAATTACCGTCCTGCGCCTACACCAATTCACAACATCCCTCTCCTGCGCCAAAATCGAGTTCTCATTGCATCATCCTGGCACCAATTACTGCCTCATGATTGCCTACCCGTGCCAAAACCGAGTCACAGTATCCCAGAACTGCGCCAAAATCAAGCTCTAATGACTAGTCCATTCTGGACCAGAATCTCTATCCACTCACACTTGTAGATTCCTTAATTGCCTATCCTGCACCAAATTTGCCACTTTCCTATTCCTAACCTTTATGTGATACAAAAAATTAAAGGTTTAAAGATTTAGTTTCAATTCCACTTTGTTACCATGGATATTCTTTGCTGTGACATACGGGTCTATTTTTATCTTATTTTATTTTGCCTTTTAAATCTTGCCCTGTGTGCAAGGAATGACGGGGTTACCGTTCACGGGCACGCACTGATCGGAACGCAGATCAGCAAGATGCAAGACCAGCACGTTCACCACTGCATTCGGCACAGCACACAAAGACCGCTTTCATAGCATACCTATCCTGTGCAAAGACCACTTCATCATAACGACCATTAATTGCCGCCAAAACCTATCTCTCATTTTACGGTCCTGCCCAACGCCCTCCCTCCTCACCTGTCCTGCCCCCAACGCCCTCCTTACCTCACCTGTCTGCCCCACACCCCTCCCTCCTCACGTATCCTCGTGGTGCGCCCGCTCAAACTTCACTGTCCTGCGCTCCGAACCCTCCCTCTCCACGCTGTCCTGCCCCCCACACCCCTTCCCTCCTCTCCCCTGTTCCTGCCCCAACGCCCCTCCCTCCATCACCTGTCCATGCCCCCACACCCTCCCTCCTCACCTGTCCTGCCCCAACGCCCCTCCCTCCTCTCACCTTGTCCTGCCCCAACCACCCCCTCCCTCCTCCCCTGTCCTGCCCCGGGACGCCCCTCCCTCCTCACCTTGTCCTGCCGCCGACGCCCCTTCCCTCCTCTCACCTGTCCTGGTCGCCACCCCAGCGCTCCGACGAAGCCCCACTACGCCCAGCACCAGCCTGGGTCCCCGACCGTCGCTGACCCCCGACCGCCCACTCGGGCATTCTGGTCGGGCATCGAACTCGCTCGTGATTCGGGTCAGGTCGAGGGCGCCAAGATGATTTCGCGGTACTCTGCAGCGACTGTCTGGGGGAGGAAGAGGAGGAAGACTTTTGTAAGGCTTTGGAGGAGGAGGGGAAGGGAGGAAGGGAGGAGAAGGACGAGGAGGAGGAAGAAGAGGAGAAGAAGAAGAGGAGGAAGAAAGAAGAGGACGGAGGAGGAAGAGGAAGGAGAGGAAGAGGAGGAGCGAGGAGGAGGAGGAGAGGAAGAGGAGGGAGGGAGGAGCGAGGAGGAGGAGGAGGAGGAGGAGGAGGAGGAGGGAGGAGGAGAGGAGGGAGGAGGAGGAGGAGGAGTAGAGAGAGAGACAGAGAATGAGGAGAGAGCAAAATGAGAGGGAAAAGAGAAAGAGAGAGAAAAGAAAAGAGAGAGAAGAGAGAAGAAAGAAGAAAGAAAAGAAAAGAAAGAAAGAAAGAAAGAAAGAAGAAACACCTTCCCCTCACCTGATAATCACTTCCAGAACACAACAACAAAACAACACCAAACAAAAAAACAACAAACAAAAATCATCATAAATACACACAAAGTGCCAAAAGAACCCACCAGTGCCTCGGGGTTGAGAGTGCCAGTCCGGTAGAGGAAGCCGTCCCTCTTCTTCCTGCCCCAATACTCCGAGTGGTTGTTGGCCCTCCAGCCGTACTCTCGAGGGCGACTGTTGATGTGGTCCATGAGGCTGATGTCGATCATGCACTCGTCCTGCTCGCACTGCCAGGTCGCCGTTGTCGCATTTCTGAGGTAAGGAGGAGGAGGGAGGTCTGGTTAGTTTGTCTGTCATATTTTTTTTTATATTTTTTATTTTTTTTTATTTATCTATTTTTTATTTGTTTTTTATTTATATTTTATTTTTAAGTTAGGAGAGGGGAGGGAGAGCTCGTGCAGGTAGGAGGGAGGGGAAGAAGAGGAGGGAGGCGGAGGAAGAAAGGAAGAAGGAGGGGAGGAAGAGAACGCGGAAGGGGGAGGGAGGGGAAGAGAGGGAGGGAAGAGGGAGGGAGAGGGAGGGAGGGGAAGAGGGAGGGAGGGAGGGGAAGAGGGAGGGAGGGGAAGACGGGAGAGGGGGAGGGGAAGGAGAAGGAGAAGGAGGGGGAAGGAGAAGGAGAGGAAGAGAAGGAGAGGAGAGGGAGAGGGAGAGGAGAAGGGGAAGAAGAGAGGAGAGGGAGAGAGGACGAGGGAGAGGAGAAGAGGAAGAGGAAGAGGAAGAGGAAGAGGAAGAGGAAGAGGAAGAGGGAAGAGGGGAGGGGAGGGAGAGGGAGAGGAGAGGGAGAGGAGAGAGGGGAGGAGAGGGAGAGAGAGAGAGAGAGGAGAGAGAGGAGAGTGAGAGAGTGACGTGAGTGAGTGAGTGAGTGAGTGATGAGTGAGTGAGTGAGTGAGTGAGTGAGGTGAGTGAGTGAGTGATTAGTTGTGGTGAATGAGAGTTTGAATGGATGGTGAATTATGGTCTAACCTTTTTTTTTTCTTAAGTGAATTATTTTTCGTTCAACTGAAGATCAAAGATGATATTCATGAAAGCGAGAATATTTTCCTTTATTTTTCTTCCTTTTAGTTTAGTATAGTTTAGTCCTTTATTTACGTAGTTGAATAAGAGCGTGTTTTAACCGTAGACATTCAGTAAAAAAATTAGCATGTGTCTTTATTCAATAGATTTATTATTTCATGTGACTTTTTCTTCTTCATTCGATGTCCTGAAAGTATTATTAGATTAGATGTAACTTCTTCATATACAAATTCATATACATATACACATACGTATTACCATATACATACAAATGTAATTTTTTTTTCCTCTCTCTCTTTATATCTATCTATCTGTCCATCTATCTATCTACCTATCTATATATCTATCTATATCTGTGTGTATGTGCGTGCGTGTGTTGTGTTGTGTGTGTGTGTGTGTGTGTGTGTGTGTCTATGTGTGTGTGTGTGCGTGTGTGTGTGTGTGTGTGTATGTGTGCGTGTGTGTGTGTGTGTGTGTATGTGTGTGTGTGTGTGTGCGTGTGCGTGTGTGTGGTGTGTGTGTGTGGTGTGGTGTGTGTGTGTATGTGCGAGTGTATGTGTGTGCGTGTGTGTGCGTGCGTGCGTATGTGTGTGTATGTCTGTGTGTGTGTATGTGCATATACATACATACGTATATGTAAAAATATTTATTTATTTATCCACACACACACACATCCACACATACACTCGCACACACATGTGGGTATTTTCTTCTCCACCTTCCTCCTTCGGGTAAGTCTCATCTGCAAGAAAAGTGTCTCTTTCAGGTCGAGTAAGTGGAGGAAGGGCCACTTACAGGGAGTTTCTGCTTCCGGTCAATCATTTCCACTCATTTATTTTGTTTGCGAGTGTGAGAAAGAGAGGAAGAGAGAGAGGAGAGGGAGAGAGGGAGAGAGGGAGAGAGGGAGAGAAGAGAGGGGAGGAGTGATAGGGTGCGAGTGAGAAAGGGAGAGAGGGAGAGAGACAGAAGGAGAGAAAGAGAGAGGGAGAGAAGGGAGGGAAAGAGGAGTGATAGGGTGGAGTGAGAAAGGGAGAGAGGGATAGGGGGAGAGTGAGAAAGGGAGAGAGGAAAGGGAGAGTGAGAAAGGGGGGGGAAAGGGCGGGAGGGGGAAAGGGGGGAAAGGGGAGAGTGAGAAAGGGAGAGAGGAAAGGGATGAGAAAGGGAGAGGGAAAGGGGGAGGGAAAGGGAGAGAGAGGGATAGGGGAAGAGTGAGAAGGGAGAGAGGGAGGGGGAGAGAGGGAAAGGGGAGAGGGAAAGGTGGGAGAGGGGAAAGGGGAGAGGAGAGGGAAAGGAGAGGGGAAAGGGAGAGAGGAAAGGGAGGAGGAAAGGGAGAGGCAAAGGGAAGAGACAAAGAGAGAGGGAAAGGGAGAGAGGGAAAGGGAGAGAGGAAAGGAGGAGGGAGAGAGAAAAGGGAGAGAGGGAAAGGGAGAGGGGAAGGGAGAAGGGGAGGAGAGGGGGGAGAGGGAACGGGAGAGAGGGAAGGAGAGAGGGAAAGGAGAGAGGGAAAGGGAGAGAGGGAAAGAGAAGAGGGAAAGGGAAGAGAGAGAGAAGAGAGAGAGAGGAAGAGAGAGAGAGAGAGAGAGAGAGAGAGAGAGAGAGAGAGAAGAGAAGAGAGAGAGAAAGAAGAGAGACAGTGAGAGAGAAATAGATAGAGATGAGATAGAGATAGAGAAAGAAGAGAAAAGAGAAAGATAGATGGAGAAAGAGAAAGATTGGAATAGAGAAGGAAGAAGGAGCGAGAGCGAGAGAGGAGCGAAGACCCCAACCCTCTGCCAGATGATGAATCAGCTTGATCACGCTTTGGTCATATTGGCGTGACGAAACGTAATATCTTGTGTTACTTTTTGGAAACGATATGGGCTGTTTGTACGCACACACACACGCACGCGCACGCCGCTCACGCACACGCAAACGCACACGCACGAAGGCACGCACGCGGCGCACGCCAACGCACCACACACACGCACACGCACACATACACGCAAACACAACACACACACACACACACACACACACACTAATCTCTCTCTTCTCTCTCTCTCTCTCTCTCTCTCTTCTCTCTCTCTCTCTCTCTCTCTCTCTCTCTCTCTCTCTTATATATATATATATATATATTTATATATATATATATATATATATTATATATATAATGCGTGTGTGTGTGTGTGTGTGTGTGTGTGTGTGTGTGTGTGTGTGTGTGTGTGTGTGTGTGTGTGTGTGTGTGTGTGTGTGTGTGTGTGTGTGTGTGCGGTGTGTGTGCGCACGTGCCTGTGCGTGTGCGTGTGTGTGCGTGTGTGAGTGTGTATGTGTGTGTGTGTGTGTATAGATAAATAGATAGATAGATATCTACCTATCTACCTATCTATCCTATATATCATATATCTATATATCTATATATATATATATATAATATATATATATATAGATATATACAGAAAAGCAGAAAAGAAATAAAAAGATACAAAAATTTCAAACATCTCTTCATTTCGTTCGTGTTATCACAAAAGACAAAAATAATAAAACGTATTATCTTCCTTTTCTCTTTTTTCTTTCTCCCTATCTCCATCTTTACGCGCTAATTAGGCACGATTTAATGACAGGAAGGAGGAATAAATCGCAAAGGGGCGGGGCTTGCGAAGGGGGGGCGGGGCGTGATGACGTCATCGGGGAGTGGATGAATGACGAAAGAACTTTAATTAAGGGGTGACTTTTTTTTTTTTTTTTTTTTTTTTTTTTTAATGAATAAGAGTTTTGGGATTGCGTTTGATTTTTTGTTCTGTTCCTTGTTTTTTTTTCTGTCTGTCTGTCTGTCTGTGTCTGTCTGTCTGTGTCTGTCTGTCTGTCTGTCTGTCTGTCTATCTGTCTGTCTGTCTGTCTGTTTGTTTGTGTCTGTTCATCTATCTATCTCTGTTCTACTATTCATTAATGAAAGTAATGATGGTAATTATAATAATAATGATAATGATGATAATAAAAGTGATAATGATAATAATGGTAATGATAATAATGATAATAACAATGATAATGATGATAAATAACAATGATGATAATTAAAATAATGATAATTATTATGATATTAATGATAATGATAATAATGATATTGAAAATAACAAAAGTAAGAATGATGATGATTAAAATAATAATGATTATTATGATATTGATAATAATAATAGTGATAATGATGATAACAATGATAATAAAAATGATAATAATGATAATAACTGTGATTACAACGACCGATAACCAAAACAATAAAAAAGTTAAAAAATGATGATGATAATTGCAATAATAAAAAGGAGAAAGAAAGTTAATAGAAGGATAAGAAGAGGAAGAGAAAGGAGGAAGGAGGAGAGAGGGGAGGAAGGGAGGAGAGAGGGAGGAGGAGGAGGAGGAGGCGGAGGAGAGAGGAGGAGGAGGAGGAGGAGGAGGAAGGAGGGGGAGAGGTGGGGGGGGTTGTTGGCACCGGGCAACAATGCTGTCACACGTGGTGCCTTGACGGTCATGTTGTCATATGCCAGATAGGTCACCCCCGCTCCCTCTCCCCCCCCCCTCTCCCCTCGATCACCCCCCCCCCCTCCCTTCCGTTACACATCATCTGAGTCATACATGTCTTCGCTTCACGTGATATGGTGCACGTACACACACCACACACACAAATGAACACACGCACATTTAAAGCACACGCACACACAACACACACTCACTCACTCACTCACTCACTCACTCACTCACTCACTCACTCACTCACTCACACTCACACACACAACACACACACACACACACACACACACACACACTCACTCACTCACTCACTCACTCACTCACTCACTCACTCACTCACACACACAAACACACACATACAGAAGCAAACGTAAACGAGTCCATATATTAACACACAACACTAACCTACAAACACACACACACACACAAATACATAAAACAAATGCACACACACAACAAACAAATGTACACACACACATACAAACAGGCACAACACACACATTTAAAAGCAACATATATTACACACACACACACTGACTAACATACCACCTTACACCTTGCTCATACATGTTGCCAAACTAAAATTATAAAAAGGATTATAAACAGTTAAATAAACCAACAGTAAAAATACATTCATACAAACATCCAGATAAACATTGATAAACAAACAAACAAGCAAACAAACAGGTATACGAATAGATAAAGAAGTAAATAGAGATAAACAAGGAGATAGAAAGACAGATGATAAGGTATATAAAGACAAAGATAGATA